ATTATCCCATTTTCTTCCAGAAACTTATCCGAGGCAACTTTTGAGAAGACATTACGAGCGTATTCTGAAAGGAATCATACGTGTATCACTAGTATGGATAGCAATTATGATCCAGCACATATTATGTGAATTTGTCTAATAAATTGTGATATTCTAGTAAAACATATATACGTATTATTCTACACCTACATAAATCTTTATCCATAACTACATAATAAAAGAGACGGAGTGGTCTAGCGGTAGAGAGCTGGACTGCTAACCCGTAAGTCCAGAGTTCGAATCCGGGTTCAAGTCAGTAGACCGTCCCTGAGTCCACCCAACTCTGATGGGTACCTAACTTAACTTAGGGAAAGTAAAGGCGGCTGGGCATAGTGCTGACCACACTATCTCTTCATATGCCGAGGTCACAGAATCAAGCGAACTCTACTTCAGGTTTGAAAGGGAAACTTTACTATTTACATAAAAAAATAAAATACATAAAATAAAGCTGATTTGCTGATTTCCACAAAACACACTAATACACTCACACACATGGCGATGTTGTAATTTGTTTTAATTTAATTTTTTTTTTTCAAAACCCGAACAGGCCAGCAATGAGTATCCTATGTTTGTATTTTGTGTTTATATATATATATATATATATATATATATATATATATATATATATATATATATATATATATATATATATATATATATATATATATATATATATATATATATATATACACAGGCCTATGTATATATATATATATATATATATATATATATATATATATATATATATATATATATATATATATATATATACAGGCCTATATATATATGGAGGTTGGCCTAAACAAATTGTTGCGGGGTGGCCCTTTTTTTTCTAGTTCCGCAACTGCCACAAATGAATCTGTATTAGAAACTGTATCTTTATCTATAGTAGCAAATGTAAGCTCGTCCATTTTTTAGCTGTCCAACAACTGACTCTGTATTAGAAAATGTATCTTATCTGTATTAACATACCTATCATCGTATGTGTTTTAGCTCTACGCACAGTTGAATCTGTACCTTTATTCCTATCAACGTATGTATTATCGTCTGTTTTGTGTCTCAATATATATCTTTATTTACACTTGAAATGCCACTAAAATGACAAATAAATCTCTTTTTATGTGTTTGTAAGTTTCAATATTTATAGCATACGGCTTTAGTACCAAATAATTAAATAAATTGTCAATTGAAAAATTATAACACGAAGTAAAATGTATGATTTTTGTAATATGTCGTTTTTTTTTAAATATAGTATTATTTCTCCCTTTAGAATCCCCAGTTCTTAAAATGTTGTCCCCATTACCTATGGTTTAAATGAGGTTTTACCGGCATTTTACTCTATTGCGACATGTACACATTGTCCATATGTCTTACATTGCACAACAATTGACCGATGGAATCTGGTACACTATAACAGGATTACAACATAATTTTCCGTGCATGGACATTTTTTGGGACGATTATTCTAAAGTCGTGTCGGACGTATATATATATATATATATATATATATATATATATATATATATATATATATATATATATATATATATGAATAAACATATATTATAGGCCGTTGACGCCTATTTCAGCCTGATCTTCTTTTTTGGATTTGCTTCCATAGACGAACAAATTACAAGGCATCAGTTGTTTGATTTTGGAGTTATCTTTCGTAGATTGGTTGCTTTCCCAGATATCGTATCTCATCTACCCAGGGTTCTAACTCAGAACTTTAGCAGCCATAAGCTTTACCATCCCGACTACAATTACCTTAGTAAAACACTGATTTATTGGTTGATTTGTATTCAACAGGAGATTGCAAGTAATGTTTTTACGTACCTGCGAGAATTAAAATCAAGTTTAAGATAACTCGACTGAGCTGCATTTTTGTCCAGGCGATTGAATTCTGATCAACACGATTAAAAACGACGAAGAAGAGAGTTTTTGCCACAAACCACTTTCATCTCCAAGGTGTTAGGTTCAAGCTAATAATGGCAAGCCAATTTTCTGGTCGTCAGACCCTTAAAAAAATCCGTGTAGATATGTTAAATTCATTAATTCGATCAGTTCAAGTAGTTTAAGCACACAAACACACACACACACATACACACACACACATACACACACGCATATATATATATATATATATATATATATATATATATATATATATATATATATATATATATATATATATATATATATATATATATATATATGTGTGTGTGTGTGTGTGTGTGAATGCAGAAATATATATTATATTACATATAAGTTATATATATATAATTTATCTCTATATGTATATATATATATATATATATATATACATATATATATATATATTGTATATTCTATATTATATTGTATGTGTATGTATAATACATATATATATATATAAAGAGAGAGAGAGAGAGAGAGTAATAGAGAGAGAGAGAAAAAATGGACAGAGTGAAAGAGGGAGAAAGAATAAGCTAGTTTTGTATTAGAACTCAAGTAATTACAGTTCGGTTAAATCTTAGATTAGCGTCGGTTATTATTCCGGAATGGTATAGCAGTAAAAACATTAAAGTAATGTCAAATTCTGTCACACAGTTCCGGAATCCACTGGAAGTACTGTAAACCATACTTTATTTGTCGTCATCTTTTATTTTTAATACTGAACGTTTAAAGTGTGGATAGATTTTAATTGCGTGTTAAATACTACATTACTAATAATTTTGTATAGCTAATTATTTCTTAAGTGTTTCAGCTAAATATTTCTGCTACTAAACATTGTTCAACTTTAAATAGTCTGGACGGGTCTACACAGTGGTATTTCGTTTTTCGCTGGATCGCAAAAGAAACCCGACTGAGAAGGGGGGAGGGAAGTGTGTTAGACTTTTAGTAATTTTTGTTGTTGTTGTTGTTGTTTCGTGAGTGACCGTGTAAAAGTGTTACAAGTACTTAAAAGTGTTAATTAACCTATATTTACATATATAATTCTATACGTGGGGACCACGCGAGACACCACTTCGTAAGGGCTCAGCTGTTCCTACCCCGCTCTCTACCACTCCCACCCCACCAGTCTGGTGAGCTGTGGTTAACCCCGAATGTTTATAATATGACGGCAATTAGGGGTAGATAATTTAGCTTTTAAACAATTTGAAACTAATGAGAGGTAAGAAGTTCTGCTTGATTTTTTCATTGTCGTCCGTAAATTGTCGACGAGGACGGTTGCTTTCACGGTGGGGGGGGGGGGGGGGAAGAGAGAAGAGACGGTAGTGTCGAATTGACAAATTATAAATCCTGGAACTAAATCCTGGAGCTAAAAAAACACTATGCAGGTTTTAACCATACAATTTTTATCCTCTAAAGAAGAAAATAAAACAACTAAATAGCGGCGTACGCTTACGGCGCGGATCAGCTTGTGAAAGAATAATCGGCCATACAAATCTTGACCTGATTTCTTACTCGCTACTATTTCTTATGTTTGGGGTTGCAGGACAGAAGCTCTAAGTGGTAGTCTACGTGTAATTTGTGAAGCTGTATTTTTAATTCACTTTCTGTTAAACTGTTTTTGAAACCTTTGCCAAAGATGACCATTATGATTGTACTAACCCGCCCCTCCTTGTAACTACGGTCATTGATATTATAACTTCTGTTAACTCACCGTGACCCCCCAAGTAGGCCTACGTAGTTGGTCCTGTTTGGCAGAGGTTGGGGTTGGGGGGGGGGGGGGGGGGATAAATTTAAGATACAGTAAAATGCGAAAAGGAATATTTCTGACGTATTAGACGTAGCGGGGGGGGGGCGGGGCGGGGCGGGGGGACATATGTCCCCGGGCGCCGACCTTAGGGGGCGCCAAAATAAATTGAAAGGTTGAGGGGGTGCAAACTGAAAGTTTGAGGGGGGGGGGTGCAGATCGAAAGTTTGAGGGGTGTGCAAATCGAAATCTTGAGGGGGGGGGGTGCAAATCGAAAAGTTTGTCCCCGGGTGCCTGGAAGAGTTGCTACGCCTCTGTTCCAAAACACCATTTACTAGATCTAGGACCTAGGTTAATTATAAGTCTATGCTACTAAGCAACTGCAGACCAAAATTAGTAAATTATTATTATTATTTAAAGTAATTAACTCTGGCTTTTATATGTCATTATACTGCACTTATAGTGAAGGTACAATTGTTGCAACATTTTATTTTATTTTCAAAATAGTGTACAAACCCTGGTTCGAGTACTATTCAATAAAAAAATTTGAACGCGTTTACTAGGCCTGCAGCTAGCTAGATCTAGATGTAAGTAATTGATTGTCACAAATCCTCTGCAAGTCAAAAACATCAAACAAATTACTACATTTGAGTTGATAATTTATATATTTTATTTATTTTTAGATCTACCAAATTAAATTTACTAATTTAAATCTACTATTATATTTCTTCCGGTCACAGAAACAAGTGAACTGTACTTCACTTGCCCTATAGACCGTCAGGTTTGAAAAAGGGAACTTATTTTGAATCTAGATCTAGTCTTATCATTCTACCTAGTTTACGTGGCTCAGACAACCAAGTTATAGATGTACTGACTAACTATAATTTGTGTACTGCTTACAATCAGTTTAGTTTGATAATGATGCCATTGAAAGAAATGTAAACATTTTCTCTAATCGCGTTTAGACAGGAAGTAAATGTGCGAAGTATAAAATAAAAACATTGAGATTTGGGCTCGAGAGTTTATTTTTTAAAAATTCATACAAAGCGTTTTAATGACAAGCTTTTATGTAACCATGTACTAATAAACCGGGAGTTATCTCCTCTAAACTTGCTCGAATATTCTTATCTAACACTACGTGGGATGGCAACTCAGAATATAGACATGATTTTTGTTTACTTAATTAAACTTTTAAAAATAGAATAAAATCTCGTAGAAAAAAGAATTGCGCACCATAGCGTTAATTACTACTCCCGGTCAATGGAAATTACTCAAAATTCGACAGAAGGTAGAGAATTAGATCTTTTACTTACATGTGAAATTCCATTTAACTAATTGAAACAGTACTCAAGCTATAGGCTTTTAAAAAATTCACAGTAGAAAAAGTGTACAATACTATTTAAATTACTATAAAGAAAAGCGTACCAGGCGATGTCAAAATTTTTTTTAATAGTACTAGAACCAGGGTTTGTACACTATTTTGAAAATAAAATAAAATCGAGGTTAGGATCACACAACTGAGCTGCATTTTCTCCCGGCGAATGAATCCTAATCAACACGATTAAAAACGACTAACTAACCACTTTTATCTCCATGGTGTTAGGTTCAAGCTAATAGTGGCAAGCCAATTTTCTGGTCGTCAGACCCTTACAAAAATCCTTGTAGAAATGTTAAATTCATTAATTCGATCAGTTCAAGTAGTTTAGGCACACAAACACACACACACACATACACACACGCATACATATATATATGTATATATATATATATATATATATATATATATATATATATATATATATATATATATATATATATATATATATGGATAAGTATTAATTAATCTATATTGATATATATATAATTCTATACGTGGGGACCATGCGAGACACCACTTCGTAAGGGCTCAGCTGTTCCTACCCCGCTCTCTAGATATATTGCTACCACTCCCACCCCACCAGTCTGGTGAGCTGTGGTTCCGAATGTTTATAATATGACGGCAATTAGGGGCAGATAAATAAGCTTTTAAACAATTTGAAACTAATGAGAGGCAAGAAGTTCCGGTTGATTTTTTTCATTGTCGTCCGTAAACTGTCGACGAGGACGACTGCTTTCACCGTGGGGGGGGGGGGGGGGGAAGAGAGAGAAGAGACGGCAAATTATGGGAATCTAGATCTAGTAAATAGTGTTTTAAAAATAAAGTCTACTTGAAAAGAGAAATAAATGGAGCTAAAAAAAACACTATGCAGGTTTTAACCATACAATTTTTATCCTCTAAAGTAGAAAATAAAACAACTAAATAGCGGCGTACGCTTACGGCGCGGATCAGCTTGTGAAAGAATAATCGGCCTTACAAATTTTGACCTGATTTTTTACTCGCTACTATTTCTTATGTTTGGGGTTGCAGGCAGGCAGACATATACTAAAAAAATGAGGAGGAAAGCTATAAGTTGTAGTCTACGTCAGGGGCGTAGCGAGGGCGTAGCGAGGGGGGGGGGGGGGGCGGGGGGTGCGGACCGCACCGGGTGACACCATTTAGGGGGGTGACACCAAGGCAAAAAATAGTAAAACATCTAGAGAAAAACTCGAGGGGGGGGTGCAAATTGAAAGTTTGAGGGGGGGGGTGCAAATCGAAAACTTGAGGGGGGGGGGGTGCAAATCGAAAATTTGAAAGTTTGTACCTGGGAAGGGTCCCTATGCCTCTGGGGGGGTGACACCATTAAGTGCCGCACCGGGTGACACCCGACCTCGCTACGCCACTGGTCTACGTGTAATTTGTGAAGCTGTATTTTTAATTCACTTTCTGTTAAACTGTTTTTGAAACCTTTGCCAAAGATGACCATTATGATTAGACTAAACCGCCCCTCCGTGTAACTACGGTAATTGATATTGTAACTTGTGTTAACTCACCGTGACCCCCCAAGTACGTAGTTGGTGCTGTTTGGCAGAGGTTGGGGTTGGGGGGGGGGGTAAAGTTAAGGTACAGTAAAATGCGAAAAGGAATATTTCTGACGTATGAGACAGGCTTACTGATGATAGGACTACTGTGACCTCACATTGACCCCTCCACTGCGTTTTGTTGTGTGTGTGGGCGGGTGGGGGAGGGAAACGTTAATTTTTTGAAAGCAAACAAAATTTTCAGCTATAAGCATAAATAATTGTGTGGTTTAAACCTTCATAGTGTGTGTTGTTGTACTAGTACTATTCAAAATTTTTTTTATGGTTTTTACTAGGCCTGCAGCTAGCTAGATCTAGATGTAAGTAATTGATTGTCTCAAATCCTCTGCCAGTCAAAAACATCAAACAAATTACTACATTTGAGTTGATAATTTATATATTTTATTTATTTTTAAATCTACCAAATTAAATTAGAAAATAAATGATACAATACAATTTAAATTACTATAAAGAAAAGCGTACCAGACGATGTCAAAATTACATACTAATTTTGGAGTTTCTTTTTTTAGCATTTTAAATATTTAGTCTATTATGTATTTTTACTTTCTCGTATACAGAGTATAGAGAAAGTATTGTAATCGTGCACAAAAATCACAGGAAATTTTAACAGTTTCCACCGTTTTACTTCTCAGTACTTCATAAACGGAGTTTAGGGGACTTATTTTAATTGGTCGAAAATTCTAAATCCAGATTTATTAAAATTTCGGCGTTTTACGCGTAATCGATTAGAAAAACTGGACTTAGCAATTCTGTCCGGATGTGTGGATGTGTGGATGTGTGGATGTGTGACTGTAAACACGATAACTTGAGTATCGTTAGGTCTAGATACTCGACCGCCGTTAAAAAATAATCCTGGTGATAGTTTTCAATAAGTAAATGAGATATATAGTGTAATATCAACAACTAAAAAATGTACGCAGAATTAGAAGACTTAAAATTTACATTTTTTTTGTAATTGTACCAAGCTTATTAAAATACGCGCCCATTTTATTATAGAAACTATAAAGTGAAAAGCCATTAATTGGCGAAAACGGCGTTTTTTTACAGCCGTTTGACATACCTAAATTGTTAACATGTCTCAGGTGCTAAGTATTAAGTCTATATAGAATAGGTTTGTTACCAATATAAAGAAACTCTCACAAATGCCTCTTAAAATATAACAGCTTTTATTTAAAATCATTTGACTTTCGTTATGTTTTCAAGCACAAGCAAGGATTTTAAAATTTAAGTTTTACTAATTCTTGCATATTTTGAATTAATGGTTAAAACAAATTCTCATTTGTAGAAAAAAAATTGAGAATTATATATATTTTTTTGGAATCTACAACGTGTGTTCATTATTCTGTCTGTGTAAATTTTCGTTTTGTTTTTGGTGGAATTAAAGTCATATAAAATTTATTATATTCAAATTAATTTGGAATTTAAAAAAAAATATATATTTAGAGAAAAGACGAATTAAATAATAAAATGCTCATTTTAATAGAATCGTAAATCATACATTTTTCAAATATGCAAACTCCTATAACATTTGTAACTTAAAAATCATATCAATAATATTTTATTAAACAGTTTAATAAATGTTTTCCCATACTTAAGAATAATACACCGTAATTATTAACGTTTAATAAAAATAAAATATTCCCAACAGCAAAATTTATTTCCTTATTTATTAACATTACTTAAAATATCTTTAAAAAACATTTTTAAAAAAGAAACACTGCAATACACAGTTTACAATCTCTCAAAAACAAATTCTAAATTGGACATTGTTCATATTATTTTTTAATTTCATTAATTAAGACAGTAGAAGCCAAAATATATTTGGAAGATTAAAATGTATCTTTTCAAAATACTTTTTTTGTTGTTAGTTGTGATTATGTTTGTCTGACGAAAAAAAATCCTCGTTTTTTAACATAATATTAACATATTTTCTTTAGCCATTTGACTTCACCCAGCTCTGGTCTTTTGACTATCTAATGAAGTAAATTAAATTTGCATTAAAGAAACTTGCTTGTTGTAGAGACGTTGTTCCTTTCTAATTCCGAACGTACTATCAGCAAGAGAAATTTATAGTTTTAAAATGTATGAAAGAGGTGCTGGCAAACATTTAAATCATCAGGAAAACTAGAAAAGATTAAACAACATTGTTGCACTATTTGATGTAAAATGTACACAAATACTTTTCAGCAAATTACTTACTGTATTAGTTATACAATCCGTGTAATTTAATTAACAAAAAGGTTGAATACCCGTAAACATAGTTTCTAATCAACTGATAAAACAATTTTTGGGTACTAAATATATAGACGTGCTCCGAGAAGTAAGGACAGCTCAACCCCGAAGAGATACCTGAAAGAAACTCAGGTCTAAGAGACGACCAAGGCGTCGTGGTGTGTATCTACTCCAATGCCATTCAGATAGTATAGAGTCTCCTTTTTCAGGAAAGCTTTTTCTAATCTGCGGGCATAAAGGCAATGGTTCTTCCGTCTCTTTGTTTTTATTTTTTATTTTTATTTTTTATTTATTTTATGTGACAGAAAGAATATATTGTAAATGTAAGAAAGTATTCGAAGCAGAATAAAATGTGTCGTCTGATTTTATTCCTGGTTGTTTAAAAAACTTAATCATCTAAATCCAATACTCAAAAGAATGTGAACAATTATTCGTATTATTGACATAAACGCGAGAATCACAAGCTTTTATTTTAAATTGTCTTCTCTGTCATGCTTTTGTCGTGCTTCGTCATGGATCGAAACTGGCGAACAAAATGTTGACAACTTGTAACCGACCAATTTCTTTGAAACTTGGTACGTGATTCAAAACCAAATAACAATGCAATCTGATATTAAATTGGATGCTCAATTATTTTTTTTTATTAATTAAAATTCTCTGTATAAAATACTATTTACCGTGCTATAATACGCATCATTTTTCGTTTTTATTTTGTGCGTTTGGTTATGCAACTCTATTGTACAAAAAAATATGTACTGAAAGTAATGCATAATACATACATATTATGTACCACCCGTCCCCCGTCCCCTCGCTACGCCTCTGCTGTAACAGAGCCTTGTACACATGCAGCATACTTCATATCAACAACAAAAATAAAATCCACAAGTACTTATTAAATGTTAAATAATATGTACAGAATTGCCAATAAAATTTAAACCTAACTTAAATTAAGCATGTATCAGAAGTTCATCTTTAATTTTATCCGCAATATGACAAGCTTTACCTGTGTGCCAGAGGTTACCCACCACCAAGTAATTAGCACCAGATCAATTATCTCCTTTCATTTACCGACCTGTTTGTTTACCCCACTACACAACACATATTAAACTAATACCTAGCCCTTTTCTTTTTCCCATGGCCCTCTCCAAATCCATAAAATTTCCTAATCAAACCCATACATTATCCTTAATGTTTCATCTACCCTATTCTTTATTATATCCTCTCGTTACCGTTACCGTTACCGTTACCGTTACCGTTACCGTTACCGTTACCGTTACCGTTACCGTTACCGTTACCGTTACCGTCACCGTCACAGTTACCGCTACCGCTACCGCTACCGCTACCGCTACCGCTACCGCTACCGCTACCGTTACCGTTACCGTTACCGTTACCGTTACCGTTACCGTTACCGTTACCGTTACCGTTACCGTTACCGTTACCGTTACCGTTACCGCTACCGCTACCGTTACCGCTACCGCTACCGCTACCGTTACCGTTACCGCTACCGTTACCGTTACCGCTACCGCTACCGTTACCGTTACCGTTACCGTTACCGTTACCGTTACCGTTACCGTTACCGTTACCGTTACCGTTACCGTTACCGTTACCGTTACCGCTACCGCTACCGCTACCGCTACCGCTACCGCTACCGCTACCGCTACCGTTACCGTTACCGTTACCGTTACCGTTACCGTTACCGTTACCGTTACCGTTACCGTTACCGTTACCGTTACCGTTACCGTTACCGTTACCGTTACCGCTACCGTTACCGTTACCGTTACCGTTACCGTTACCGTTACCGTTACCGTTACCGCTACCGTTACCGTTACCGTTACCGTTACCGTTACCGTTACCGTTACCGTTACCGTTACCGTTACCGTTACCCTAACCGGGCCTAACCGATGGGTTACTGTTGAAGGTACGTAATATGGATTTTTGAAAAAAAAAAACAACAACTGAAGTTCCGATTATGTTTTAACTTTATTTGAAATAAAAATAAATTTGAAGGGTAGTTTTTTTTTTATATTATTCTTGATAGAAGGAGTTTAGTGAATTAATTTGGATACTGTTTGTAATTAAGTAAATATAATGACATACAAGTTCTACATTAATATACAATGCATATAATACTAACAAACAGGCTATGTCTGAAATACTCAAAAATAAAGTATTTAAACACAAACAAGCAAAAAGTTTTAAAAAATCAAATTGTGAAATAAAATTACATTACACAAAAACAGTTAAAACTTATATATTAAACAACAATAATTTTTCTATAAGAGGTTATCCAATAATATGTAATCATTAATACCATGCTTGATAGAATTACAAGAATAAAAGGATAGTTGTTATCAGAGGCGTAGCGAGGGGGGTGGCGGGGGTGCGGACCGCACCGGGTGACACCATTTAGGGGGGTGACACCAAGGCAAAAATAGCAAAATATAGAGAGAAAAACTTGAGGGGGTGGTGCAAATCGAAAATTTGAGAGGGGGGGTGCAAATCAAAAGTTTGAGTGGGGGGGGGTGCAAATCGGAAATTTGAAAGTTTGTCCCCGGGAAGGGTCGCTGCGCCTCTGGGGGAATGGGTGACACCATTAAGTGCCGCACCGGGTGATACCCGACCTCGCTACGCCACTGGTTGTTATAATTACAGGAATATTTTGCATTTCAAGACATGATAATACACTATACAAATTCTCCGCTATTAAATTTTTACATTAGAAAAAGGATAAGAACATTTTAGTTTTTTAGTTTGCACTCACTATTCATTTTTGCAACAACGTAATTTTAATTAACTCACAAATTGTTTAATTATAATATGTCAATGGCTTTGAAAACGATAGATCAATCAAGCAGTGAAAATGGACCTCGGCAATAAAGAAGACGAGAATGGGTCGGCGTGGTCGAGTCGGTAAAGCTCTCGGTTGCTGAACCGAAAAGTCCCGAGTTCGTACCCCCGGGTAGATAAGGAGAGACAAAACCAACATCAAACAACAGCTGACTTGTAGTTTATTCTTGGTTCAACGGCAATAAAAGCAAATCCAAAAATAAAAGCAGGCTGAAATTGGAGTCAACGGCCTAAATGACGCATAACAAATTGACAAGTAATACTTAATTATGTTGGAGGAAATCCCTTCCAACATTACAATTAATAAGAACGAAGAAGAAAAACTATTCAAGATTAAATCACATAGTAAAATAGTAAAGAATATAATATTTATTTGTGACAAATTAGAGAGGAAAAAATGCTCAATCGTAGAATCTCTCACTTATTTTCGCGACAATGCTTTTATTATAGAAAGCAAGTTTCTTTCTTTCTTTTTTATAAGTGGAAGTTAATAGATTATTTTTGTATTAAAAGTTTGTTTTAATTATCCTGTTACTTTCGTCGTTGCCTGGAGTTGTAGTACCTTCCAATTCTATGATCTTTGTAGGAAGTAAAACCTTCCCGTACTATTCCCGAAATGCTAGAGGCCGCATTAAAAATCGAATCAAGTACAGTTAACCAAGTCTTTTGGTTCGACGATTCAATTTTTTTCTGCAGAATGGCTAGTTGCTGATTTTGTAACTGCAGTTGTTCTTCCATCCTTCTTAACTTTTCTTGTTTTACTTTTAAATCATTACTGTGAACAGCGTTTATTTCTTCTTTATTTTTCTTTGATTCAGTCTCCAATTGTATTTCGTACGAGAGTGAGGTTTTTAGATGATCCAGTTTGACATCAACTATAGACATTAGTAGCTTGTACATCACAATGGCATCGTTTATAATTTCACTTTGCTCTTTATCTAATTCGTCGATTTTGTTTGAAATTTCACATTTTAGAGCTTCTAAATTTTTCATAGCTTCTTCTTTATTGGGATCTTGGTCAATTTGGTCTATATCTGTTCTAAATTTAGTACAATCTTCATTAGCTCTAGCCATCATGGCCGGTAACTTATGTTTCAGAAATAGTTCTTCTCTTTCTTTTCTCGCCATTTCAAATAACGTATGGTTGTAAAGACCGTGCGTTGTGTTTATTTCAGTGACATACGCCATGAGCTTATCCAGCTGACTTTGTTTAGTTGACACGTCCGTGTTGCTTTTATTACAGAAAGGTACAACGCGACCACAGCATTCGTTTTTCAAATCTTCAAAACCTCCTTTCTGTTGGCTGATCCATTTTTCAATGCTAGCGTTGTCATTCTCTTCGGGGTCGTAGTTATCTGCATGCGTGACGATTACGATTCCATGGTTCTTTATAAAATCACAGCCAAAAATATGTCTTAGCTGATCTATTGCTTGTACTTCTTCATTAGTAAATCTGTTTAAATTTATAACAACCAAAATTGCATGGTAGCCATCCGGATTTTGTCTAATTGCGTCGTCAAACGACTTTACAGCATCTTTAACGCATTCTTCATTATCTAAGTCTGTGTCCATTAAGCCTGGAGAGTCTGTGACTTTAACAAAATATCCATTGGCCTCACCGAACTGTATTTTGATTTTTTTCGTTACAGAGCTCATACTTTTAGACGCCTCGAAAGCTTTTTTGCTTACAATAGAATTTCCGGTGGCGCTTTTTCCAGTACCCGTTTTTCCAACAAGAAGCAAAGAGAATGCAGCTGTTAAATAAATATTTGTTTCATTTAATTTAAGCTTTAACTAATATGTTTATTAAATTAAATTATTAAATCTAATTGTAAATATAGAAGAAAATATTCGTACATGTGTTGTTCTCGGAGACTGCCATTTCCTTTAGGGTGTGATTATATTGTTTGGAAAAAAAATATTATAGATTCAGCAAATTACCTGTGAACTAAAGTGGAAATATTGTCAGTGAACTCCAATCATATGACAGAGCAGATAAAAATTCTTTAAGTGTTAAAAAAACAGACGATGGCTAATAAACGTATAGAGTCTATGCGTTGCATTTAACAACATATGTGATCAATGTGTAATGTCAAATTAACTCAACAACATGTATGTGAGAAGTAAACAATTTATTGTATGTAGACTATCTGTTGATAGAGCTTTTAACTTATGTACTATAATCATATACATTCTATTGGATTAATTGTGTTTAAATATTTAGACTAAATATTTATTTTGAAATGTACAATTTTGCGATACTTGATTTTTTAAAAAGTAGGCTACTGAAAATGCCGTTTACTTTTACAGAATTATACTTATTATGGCTAAAATTTATTTGGAATTGCAGCTGTGTTCTAAAATGTATACACTTCATTTATAAAATAGTAGACAAAATATTGATACAAATGTTAACAACTCCCTCTACAATCCCTTCTATAGCTTCAGACTTTCTAATCTCTCTTTGTCGTCTTATTTCCCTTTCTTGCATTTTTAACTGTCGTTCTCTTTCATTATTTTCTTCTAGCATTTGCCATTGTCTCAATCGCATCAGCTTAAAATATGTTTCCCGCTGTTCGTATTTTAACTTTCGTTCTCTTTCTATATTTTTCTTTTGTCTTTCTCGCATGAGGTTATTTAAATTTTTCTCGTGTATGATGGACTCAACTGTCTTGACAATACTCTCCACGGAGTTTATTCTATCCACTAGTATATTCGTCCCTTGATCAAGCCTAGTAATATCTTTAACCGCGTGGTGTGCTATCTTTTTAAAATCCCACCACTCTTGTAAAGTGGTAGTATTTTTTTGCAATAACTCAAGTTTATTAACAATATGGGATACTATACGATCAGCGTTTGGTTTTAGTTCCGGAACTGTTAACTGCAGACGTCCCATCTTGGCATTATAAAAATCTTGTTTAGTGTACCGAGTCTCGTTATTTTTCATCTTAATCAGTAATACCATATTTTCCAGAGTGGTTAATTGTTTCGTTTTTGTTTCCAAATGCTTGCATTTATTATCAAAGGACACTATTCTGTTTTCAACTTCCAGTACCATTTCCTTAAAGTGGGTTGAAGTTTGATTCATGCACCAAGTGGTTACTGATGATTCCACTTCATCGTCGTCTTCATCCCAAAACGTTAATGCAAGCAAACCATGTTTTTTTAAGGCGCAGCTACCAAGAACTTGTTTAACAGTTTTAAAAACTTTATATTCTTCAGGGGTGCATCTTACGCTTGAGCTAAACACGTACATCAAGACATCGAATCCTGATGAACATAGGTCAAAGGCTTGATACATCTGTTCTTCTATGATTTCTACAAACTGGCCATCGCTCATGACTTTGCCAATATCTGTATCCGCAAACCCTGGCAAGTCGGCGACTTTAAAAATACATCTTCTAAATGAAGAGACCCCACAGCTGACGTGTTTCGTAACTGATTCAGTTCCGCCTTTTGTTAGAAATTTTTTTTCCTGCAAAATTGTATTCCCTGTTGAACTTTTGCCGTGGCCTGTTTTTCCAATCAACAAAATGCTGACCATGTTAGCTGTAATATATGTTGGTCTTTGTTATGCTATATATATATATATATATATATATATATATATATATATATATATATATATATATATATATATATATATATATATATATATATACGGAAGTCTTAAAAAAGGTTGAAATAATGTATTATTGGCAAACTCTACAGTAAAAATGTTTAAAATTCTAAACTTCAAAAAGTAATGATGAACATTCAAGTATTTAAAAATCGAAGGATTTGAAAAAAAGGTTACTTTTAAATATCAAATATCTAAATATACTTACATTTTAGATTTTCTTCTTCCATACTTGAAGACTTAGTTCAATTCCTACATTTTAAAAATGTCTTTTAATTATACACGGCAGAAAAATAATGAATTCTGCTTATTTCATACTTGACAAAGATCAAAGTATTAGTTTAGCAATACTTAAATGTGTAATTGTATAGCTCTACAAGTTTCGAAAGTACAGTGAATATATAAATCACTAGGCATGCTGCCCAGCTTCGCTTAGGCTTTCGAAAACATTGAGAATTTGAATGCTTAATTAATTCGCCCATATAAGGCGCCGGTCAGTCGAGGTCTCATCGTAGACTTTTCGGCCAACCGGCCCCCGTGTTCTGTCGCCCCAAGGCAAGACCCTGCCAAATTGGAAGCGCCTGCGGCGCCGGGAAGTGCCCTATCGGGCACCTGACAACTTAGCTTTATAGATCATCTAGATCTAGATCTAGAATTTCTAGATCTAGATGATCTAGAACATCTAGATCTAGATCAATATCTAGATCTAGAATCTCTAGATCTATAATCCAAATAGATAAAATAATTTCTTTTAAGTTTAGGCCGAGAAAATCGTATTGTATACATTTCATAGCGTACATAGCTCTAACTCATATTTGAATGAAATAGTTCATTTTTAAAAATTCTAAACTCGGAAGATGACGTCATCAGTTTTGTGCTCTTGTTTTAGTGTTTTAGTGTAAACAATAAGCGACGTCATTGTTTAATGCGTTCTTGTCCCAAGTTTATACACTTTTCCGGTTGCATAAATAATACTGTTTCTCTATATTCGAATACGCCTTTATTTTTTATTTTTCTTCTTTAAATAAAATTGTGGTTATACATCTAAAACATCTAACATATTATTTTCAACAAAAGTCCGTAAAAAGTTCTTCATATATCGCTGCCGATTCTGACGTGATGTCCGGCGAAAATATTTTGCGGACAGACAGAGAGAGAGAGAGAGAGAGAGAGAGAGAGAGAGATGTGCGAACGTGGGGTTTTATATATTAGGATAATATTCACAATATGTAAAATACGCGTGTAGGCAACGGGGTTCCCAGAAAAATGCGCAAACGAAAAATGCGCAGTGGAAAATGCGCAAACAGAGAAATACAAACTAATTATACTAATACACTTTTTGTCATACTAGATGTGTACGCTGGCCAAAGAAATCCTGGAAAAGGACAGTAAAAGATGAGGCAAGGGCTGCCGGGCTTACGTGGGCGCAAATAAAGAGAGCAGATGGAGAGTGTTAAAGCATCCCTTTGCCCCCATAGGGCCACAAAGTAAGTCAAGTCAAGTTTTGTACTCAACTATTTGAAGATTAACTACGGGCGGTGACTAACTGGACGGAATCCAACAGTAGTATATCAAGTAACTTTTGGTTATCATGGCGCTGGCGCAGGCGGATGCGCAAAGGATATATAGGAAAATACTCCCTCACCTGGGGGATGCGGTGGTGGAGGCGGATGTACAACGAGATATAGTAAAATACTCCCCCACCTGGTGGTGGTGGAGGATGCGGATGTGGAGGGTTAGACATGTTATATAGTAAAATACTCCCTCACCTGGCGCAGGAGCAGGTGGCGCCGAGACAGGGGGAGTAGGTCAGTAGGTCAGGTGAGGGGGTGACCTTGTGACTTAATCTCCACCGGTGACCTAGTTACGTAATTTGTTTATTTGTTTTTAATTAGTTTGTTTGTTGCTTTTAATGAGTTTGTTTTTAAATAGTTTTGAATTAGTTTGAATTTTTTATTTATTTTTAATTTTGTAAGTTTTATTAACTAGTTACGTAATTTGATTATTTGTTTGATATTAATTAATTTGATTTTAATTTTTAATTTTAATTTAATTACTTTGTTTATATTTTGTTTGTTTATTTTTAAATTAGTTTAATTATTATTTTTTAATTTAAATTTAATTTAAATTTGATTTTTAAATTTTTTAATATTTTTAAATTTTAAATTTAATTTTTTTTAATTTTTAAATTTTATTTCTTTGTTTTAATCCATTTTATATTTGTTTGTATGTGTTTTTTTTTCTGACCAGGTGGGGGAGTATTTTACTATATAACATGTCTAACCCTCCACATCCGCATCCCCCACCACCACCAGGTGGGGGAGTATTTTACTATATCTCGTTGTACATCCGCCTCCACCACCGCATCCCCCAGGTGAGGGAGTATTTTCCTATATATCCTTTGCGCATCCGCATCTGCCTGCGCCAGCGCCATGATAACTAAAAGTGACCTGATATACTACTACCAACTAGGCAATTATTTATTGGCTTATTTTTATTTTAAAAAATAGGGTTATTTTAAATAATGTTTGTCGCAAAGTTTAATTAAATAAATATTTTTAACTTTAATATTAGAGTTTTAAAATTTATTCGCTTGACATGCTAAATAGTTCTTAGTACATAAATCTAATATAAAATGTATATACTTAGTTGCGAAGGAATAATTGTTTTTTTTTTCTTTAACTCAACTAAATGGTTCAATGTAGTGTAATGTATCAATTAAGCAAAATTGACAACTTTGCTATCGTTATTTAAGTGGAATTTATTTTGATTTAACTACCTATTAAAAGCTGTTATTTTTTCCTAAAAAATTAGTAAAAGTATAATCGTAATTTAATAATACAATTATTTAAATATTGAATAAAAATTATGCTAATACACACTCTGCTTTCTAAGAAATCCTAAACACAATTTTTTTTATTGATACGGGCTACCTTAAAAATAAAATTGTATGAGTGACCATAAATTAACATTATCAAATACTTCAATGTTTGCTCAGATAAGGAAAGTAAAACTCTAATCAATTTTCAAAGTGTAACTTTAGCTTAGTAGTCTGCAGAGTTTCTTCCAGGCATCTCTTCGGGGGGGCGAAGCCCCCCCCGAAAATTTTTACCGCCCCCCCGAACGAAATTAAATTTATATAATTTATATAGAAAATATATACTTTTAACAGTGTCCGCCCCCCCGAAGAAAGTCTACCGCCCCCCCGAAAATTTCAAGTGCCCCCCCGGAGAAAAAAGTCTGGAAGAAACACTGGTAGTCTGTACCGAACCAATCTAAGATAAGAAGTAAACAGAATATATTTAACATTCAAAGTGACTAAAAAGCAAACTCAATAATTTGAAATTTGAATAAAGTATTAGTCTGAGAGTAATATGTAATAAGTATCGATATGAAAAGTTTTTTGTAACGCACACTAAAACAACTATTTTTATACAATAAAATATTACGTTGTTTTTTTAATTAAAAATTAAAAATATATATTTCTCTAAAATGTAAGAACATGTATCCTATGGTAAAAAAAAACTATACTCTAGGGTCTTTCACAAACAACTCATACCTTCAAATCGTACCTTGTACAACTGCAAGACTTGTGTGTCCTTTTACCCTTGATTTGCCTTTTTATCACGAGAGCTGCCAGATACATTTTCACGGAGTAGTTTAAAAGTTTTAATTACTTCATAAAATGTATGCTAAAAATTACGATTTTAACAACAGTAATATTATCAAAAGCGCTGTAAATGATTTAGATAATTGCACTAATCCTGAATATAGCGTAAAGGTACACTTCGCGAGGCTGTTTTTCCAATTAAGTGCATTTTACGAGCAGTCAATATGTTTACCGAAGATTAGCCTAGCAAGTCAACTTAGAAAAAATACCAACTCAAAAATTTAGACTTTTGATCACTACATGTCCAATCATTTTGCAATCGCCAAATCTGTAAATATATCCTTTGGTTAAAAGCATTTCCTATCCATTTTTTCCCTAATTTTCTCAGTGAGAAGTAACATTCTTGAAAATCATTAAATTGTTAAATATGCCTGGCTCAATAAAAGCGGAAAGTAAATTCATTACAATTTGTTTTACTTTGGTGGATGTTGAACACAATCAATGTACTTCTTTTGCAGGAACAGTTTTAGTGTGTTTAAAGTATAGAGGCTTTAGAAAAGTCAGACGTGGGTGTATCGCAATTTTATTTTTCTATATCTTCAGATTCCGTTTGAGTTATTTTTTTTTTAATAATATTCAAAAGGAAATTAGTGGATGCTAATTCGCAGGAAAACCGATATCTTTGTTTTAGACAAATGATGTAGTGTTAAATTGACTTGTAAATGATTATATGTAACACTGATAGGGGTCATTTGAATGCAGAGGCGTCGCGAGGCGGGGGCGGGGGGTGCGACTAGTGTGGATATCCCCAGCTAACGAGCTTCATCATCCCGAGGGTTCGAACTCGAGACTTTTCGGCTTTACCGACTCGACCACGCCGATACCATCCAGAAGTGGGTTGAAATTAAATTACAAGATTTGCCACAGGCAAGCAAACAATGAAATGAACATTATAAAAAATAAATATATATACACATTGTAAACTAAATGAAAGTTTAAAACGAATTACAAGTTTTGCTTTTGTGGCAACTTCACCCATTCCCACCACCACACATCACGCAAATCCCAAATCGAAACACGTGATTTGGGGAAAATCTAAATTTACAGAGTTTTTTTAGTTTGAGATTAGAAGTTTTTTCAGGAAAATGTTATCTATCGAGTTTCAGCAAACAACTGTAAACAAGGTATTTAACTCACAATGCTAGCAATGTATTACAGTACTGATAAGGATTTTATTCAAGCACTCTAGAGGTCTGATGTAGGCTTACTATGATTACTTTGTTTACTATTGGAATTTTCCTAGAAAATGTGTCTGTTCTGTTCTGTTCTATTCTGTCTGTCTGTCTGTGTCTGTCTCTCGGTCTTTCTGTCTGTCTCTCTTTCTGTCTGTCTGCCTGTATCTCTGTCTCTCTGTCTCTCTGTTTGTCTGTCTCTCTGTCTATCTGTCTGTCCGTCCCTCCGTCTGTGTGTCTGTCTGTATGTCTGTCTGGTCTTTTTTTTTGCCTATCTTTCCTGTCCTACAAAAAGTATTATTTAAATTTCACACGGTGGCGATGCACGTGCATGCAGCTAGTTTATTATGTATTATGTTTTAATTTGTCAATTGTTTTAATATGTCATTTGTATTAAACGTTTTGTTTGAGTTTTATGTGTTGCTCGTAAAAAAAATAAACAAAAAAATAAACAAAAATTCGCCATAACGTTTTTATTCTTCATTATTTTATAATTTATTTTACAATTGTTTTTTTTTTAATTTAATTTTCCTTTCTAATCTTCAAAATGTATAACGAGATATTTCTTGTAAAGCATCGTACAGTACCATATAAAATGTTATATACTTTGTTTTCACAAATACCTTATAAAGTTACTTGACAATACAAAATGGCTATAAAATAATAAGAATCATAATTTTTTTTAAAATCATTCTGAAGGGAACATTATTTATAGCAAATATTAAAAAGATTCGTTTAAAGTAAAAATGAGAATTCGTTGTGGTTTTAGAAACATCAAGTCAAATGAAAAATGGTTTTTGTAAGTCTAAAAAATATTTTTATGTTAAGTCATTTTCATTGGTCGGAAGAACTCCAAGAATAAAAAGTAACAATAATTGCATATCTAAAATAAATTACCGAATACTGTTTTATTTTCATTATAACCAATTGTAGACACTAAAAACATAATGTCGGTATAACAACACATAAGCATATATTATTATGAGAGTACAAGCATTAATACATTGTAATGAGTTAATTATAAGCGTAAATTATGCAAATCAAGTTCACATTGACATCAAAAGACAAGAATTCGACTCCAAATTGGTTTTGACATTGAGAGCAATGAACCACAGAAATTATCCAATGGCAGCTTAGAACATGCGTGGCGGGCCTCGGTGCGCATGTCCAGTGAACTTGCCAGACAAACAAACTGTTGTTCTGTTGATTAAAAAACAAGCCTTATTTTTTTTAACCAACAAAAACGAAACAAAAATTATAAACACGTGCTTGTCATACATAAAAAAAAATGTATCCTTATACGGAATTATTTAGTATTAAATTACATGTAGTCTATTGATTGTGAAAAATACAAGTTTAATTACATTAAAATAATCCCGCACTGTGTATATGGTATTTGACAATGCAAGCTTATCCTTAAACCCTAAGACTAAAGCGGATGTTTACTTTTGTAGCCTGGTGACGTCATTGCTTTAGGCTTTCTTGACAGTCACGTGATGTGCCACATTGATGTCCTCCAGCTCGTTGGAGTTGAAGACGATGATGAGCTCTGTCTTGCCAGATTTGGTGGGCGTCACCGGAAGTGTGGCCAGGAAAGTGCCGTTTGCAGGAACGTTGCTATGGTTACCAGGGTGAAAATATTTTGTTAGATGAGTTTTACACAAATTACTTGTTTATGTTTTATTATTATATTAATTATTGTGGGATTTTTTTGGGGAGAAAAGGAAAAAGAAAAAAAAAATGTTAACAAATGAAGGGAAGCAACGACTAGGTTTTTAGGAGAGTTACTTACCCCTGAGGGAAGTTCAGCGCATGCGTCAAGCCATCCACGGCCACGAAACATCCGGTGAGCTCACGGTTGAGCGGGTTGACGAAGGAGACCTCCACGCTAAACTCCTGGCCAATCTTAGACTCTGTGGGGGCCTGGAGTTGAAAGAAGGAATGTTTTTGATTCGTTGCTGATTTAAGATTTGTTGTTGTTGTTTTTGTTAGTTTCTTTCTTTTGTTTTCTTTTTAATTTTTTTCGATACATTTGTTGTTTTATCGTTGATAGCCAGAGAATCACGAAGGGTTTCTTTCTGGGATCTCTTCGGGGGTGGTTCGGACCCCCAAAGAAAGTCTACCGCCCTATTTCCCCCCCCCCCCCCCAACCAACGAAATAAAATTAATATAGAAAATACATGCTTTTACTAGTGTCAGCCCCACCTGCACATTTAATCCGCACCCCCTTCTCACCCCTCACTCGCCAAAATGTCATGTGAAACCCCCCCCCCCCTAGAAAAAAGTCTGCTAGACAAACTGGAAACCACGTGATAGAGAAATGGCAGTAATTTAAATTTCGTGACGTCAGTATAACATATATGAAGAACTTGTTATTTTGTAGAATCTAATCAAGCCTGACTTTTCAAAAGTTCAAAAGTTTGCAGTTGGTAGTTTGAGTCATACTCGATATTACTTTACCGCGATATAACTTTTCAGTCTATAATTCCCCCGACTATTAACAGAATATTAATTGGTTGTTTTTGTAATAGCATCAAGGCCGAATCAATCAAAATAGTAGAAATCGAACTACCAATACAGTGCGATGGAGTCTAAACTCATGCCTTAATTGCAAGATGCGGCTTATCAAGTCTGAAATCATACCTAAAGGCGAGATGTGAAATACGAAGTCTGAAGTCATACCTTAATGGCGAGATAATGCTTACAAAGTCAGAAGTCATACCTTGACTAAATATGAAGTCATAAAGTCATACCTTAATAGCCAGAAGCGGCTTACGAAGTCTAAAGTCATACCTTGACTGAAAGATGCGGCTTATGAAGTCTAAGGTCATTTCTTGACTTAAAGATGCGGCTTACGAAGTCTAAAGTCATACCTTAATAGCTAGATGCGACTTACGAAGTCTAAAGTCATACCTTAATGGCGAGATGCGGCTTACGAAGTCTAAAGTCATACCTTAATGGCGAGATGCGGCTTACGAAGTCTAAAGTCATACCTTAATGGCGAGATGCGGCTTACGAAGTCTAAAGTCATACCTTAATGCTAACGAAGTCATAAAGTCATACCGTAATGGCGAGATGCGGCTTACGAAGTCTAAAGTCATCTTTCTTGGTGAAGTACTGGTCAGTCTCCTCGACCACCGCCCACACCGTGACGTCAAGCATGCAGCCATCTTTGAGTTTGGTGTCGTAGTCGGCTTGGGTTGCTACAATCTTGTGTGATATTTCTGCAGAAGATTCATGAATAAAAATTAAATAATTAAAACATTATGAGAAGGATTTTTAAAGTAAAATATTTTTTTTCTTTTCATTATGATACAATTTCCTAGCTTAAATTAATATAGGCTACACCCAAGAGGAAGCTCAAACTGCTACTATTCTCTTAACCTCACACCAAGTCGTCCAGCATCTCCCAACTCCGTTTCGGTTGATCCAAACTGGATCACTTATCTTTTATCAATACCACGTGATGATATGTGATTGGTTTTCTTAGAAAATTATGTTTTGATACGTCTTCCACACCAGCGGCAGGAAATCCTTTTAATTTAACATTTTATAAATTTTTTCCACTAACGTTGTTTATTTAATCTGCCTTAAACACATTACATTTGAATCATTATCATCTTTTTCCGTTCGTGCCCAAGACACATTGGGCAGATGGAGTAGAGTTTATAAGTTTTAATGACTTGAAATAGGAAGGATTGTGGGGTCAGCACAATGCCCTTCCACTTTTGTTTCCTTAATGCGAGTTAGGTATTCATTAGAGCTGGGTGGACTCAGTAACTCAGAGCTCAAAATCGGGATCCAAACTCGAGACTTTAGGTTTAGTGGTCGTGACCTCTATCATCCGACCATTCTGACACCGTACATTTGAAGCAAAATCTGTGTACGTTATATCAGGGCTTATTACATTAGGATCTAGCATTCAATGATAGAGAGGGAGAGAGGCATCTATAAACCCAAAGTGTCGCATACGGCTCTAGGATGTGCTAACAAAACTACATAGAATAGATCTGATACATCAGTGCTCAAAACGCATTTTTATAGGATTTAAACACTGATTAGGCCTATACGTATTTAAAATTCCTCATATTATTGTAATCAATTCGTATTGTATAATCATGTTATGTTTCTAATATTTAAATACAAGCATGAAAGTATTTCAGGCTCAATTAATTAAAAATGAAACATTAAATTAAATAGATAATGCCCAAATATTATTTTAATTTAAAAAAAAAAGTATTTCATCAGAGTTACCTTCCCCTGGTTTGATGACCTTTTTCTTGAAGGTTTCCGACTTGACCAGGTCGGCCACTACCCCTGTATAGAACATTGTCCTCACGTCAATTCGGCCACTCACTGACCGCTTGGATGTTCCCCGGTTCCTCATACGGAACGACAGTTCGAAGTTCCCCCCAACAAAGTTAGCCTCTTCGTTTTGGTCAATGTTGAACTCAATATCCTAACAGAGGAGAGTTTAAAAATTTAAATTTTCTCTTTTTAGTCAGAATTTGTTTTTCTCATTATTTGGTAATTTTGATGAAAGAAAATGTTATACATGTATATCGTTTCGAATCTGACCATTAGTAAAGTAGAAGAACTATAATTCATCAATTTATGTGATTATTGCAATATTTCTGTGAAACATGAGCTACGAAAAGTTTCTTTTACAGTCTTTTAAAATACACTTTGTTAATTAATGCCAAGTTATTAAACACGACTCTACGGCAACAGGAATAGAAACTATATATATAATGAGAAAACTTAAAAGGCTGAACATTTTGGTCTAGTTAAAAAGAGAAACAAATACGTAGATGTATAAGAAATTAAAAATCCCATGGCTTTTGAAATAAATTTAAAAAAAAACAACTTAATACGACATTATAAAACTAAGAATTAAGAGAAGTATATTGTGGGTACCTTGGCCCTCTGTTTGTACAAATCCTTCCTGCTGGAGCCAACCTGGTTGGCCCTCAGTACCGCCGCTCTTTCAGCGGAAGTTCCTTATGGAAAAAATATGGCATAACTTTTTTTAATATTCCTTTACGCACGCAAAAGTTGATCTATGTATTTTATTCCAACGCAATGATCGTACGTAAAATTTATCAATGATGCTATTCTAAAGCTACAAATATCATATATTATTTTCTTACAACCATCATTGTATGATATAACTGAACTGATGATTTTTTTTAAAAATATATTATCTCAGTCAGTGGGTGGTTTAACAAAATTAACTTGACAGAAAATTTAAGAACGTATCGCTTGGAAGTTAAATTTGCAAAAAAATAAAACAATATTTAGTAGTGTACATTTACGTTTAAAATTACTTTAAAAAAACAAACTTGAAAACATTTTTAAGCTATAGGCAAAATAGAAAAAAACTACCGCAAACCATTGAAAAAAATAATATTTTACATAAAGCAAAAACAAATTACCTTCATCAGGTTTGTATTCCATTGTAAGATCTTCTCTGTCATCAGAGTTAGGGGCCTTTGTGCTGATGTTTTTTCCGATTCTATATAGTTCAGAAAAACAAATCATTTGCAATTTTTTTTAAGAATATGTCTTCAACAAAACTAGATTTAGAAAAACGCAATACACCTTCCTCCACCTCAACCATCTATCATTTCCATAATACATGTCCAGAACTGTTACTAAATCGCTATTCCACTCAGGCTTCCACAACTATCAGCTTACGACATTTTGTCCATGTAAATAACAACTCACGACATTCTGTCCTTATAACAGAATACTCACGATATTTAGACCACGTCTCTAACAACTCATAACAATTTGTCCATATAACTAACAATTAATGACATTTTGTCCATATAACTACAGCTCACTACATTGTGTCCATGTAGCTAACAATTAATGACATTGTGTCCATATAACTAACAATTAATGACATTTTGTCCATATAGGTAACAGCTCACGATATTTTGCCCATATAACAGAATACTCACGACTTTTTGTCCATATAACTGACTTCCATCTGCCCTAACTCATTGGGCACCCAGTAGAAACAATCGGCGTTAACTTCAGAGAACACAAAAGGGCCGTCATAGGGGAGATTTACCTCCCCTTGTCTAATGGCCATGACAGATGTTGGTCCACAGCAGTAGATATCTGCAAGATAAAACACAATATATCTGACATAAGCTTTCATTATCTGACAGATACAACCAAATATATCTGACACGTCTATCATTAAATATCTAACACACTTTTTAAAAAATTTCTATACATATTTCACAAACAAGCTAAGATGTGGCATGGATAGGTCATAAATAAGAAACAAAACGATATTAAAATTATACATTTTTGTTTGTGGTGTTTTGAAATGTGACAAATACATCGCCTAAAGTAAAAGGGACTGGTTTAATTTAAGGGGGCTGGTTTAATTTAAGGGGGCTGGTTTAATTTAAGGAAGGGGCTGGTTTAATTTAAGGGGGAGCTGGTTTAATTTAAAGGGGTTGGTTTAATTTAAAGGGGTTGGTTGAAGAGGATTTGTTTAGGGGGGTTAGTTTAATTTAAGTTTATAGTAACGATTGAAGGAACAGAAAATGCTACTATTTTTTTAAACAGGTGTATGAACGAAGAACAGTCCTGTGTTTTTAGAAGGAAACTGCTGTCATACAATTATTTAAATCTTAGAGCTCTATGTTGTCATATAATTATTGAAACCCTAGAGCACTGTGTTGTCATATAATTATTGAAACCCTAGAGCACTGTGTTGTCATACAATAATTAAAACCCTAGAGCACTGTGTTGTCATACAATAATTAAAACCCTAGAGCACTGTGTTGTCATACAATAATTAAAACCCTAGAGCACTGTGTTGTCATACAATAATTAAACCCCTAGAGCACTGTGTTGTCATACAATAATTAAAACCCTAGAGCACTATGTTGTCTTACAATAATTAAAACCCTAGAGCACTGTGTTGTCATACAATAATTAAAACACTAGAGCACTGTGTTGTCATACAATAATTAAAACCCTAGAGCACTGTGTTGTCATACAATAATTAAAACCCTAGAGCACTATGTTGTCTTACAATAATTAAAACCCTAGAGCTCTATGTTGTCATATAATTATTGAAACCCTAGAGCACTGTGTTGTCATACAATAATTAAAACCCTAGAGCACTGTGTTGTCATACAATAATTAAAACCCTAGAGCACTATGTTGTCTTACAATAATTAAAACCCTAGAGCTCTATGTTGTCATATAATTATTGAAACCCTAGAGCACTGTGTTGTCATACAATAATTAAAACCCTAGAGCACTGTGTTGTCATACAATAATTAAAACCCTAGAGCACTGTGTTGTCATACAATAATTAAAACCCTAGAGCACTGTGTTGTCATTCAATAATTAAAACCCTAGAGCACTATGTTGTCTTACAATAATTAAAACCCTAGAGCTCTATGTTGTCATATAATTATTGAAACCCTAGAGCACTGTGTTGTCATACAATAATTAAAACCCTAGAGCACTGTGTTGTCATACAATAATTAAAACCCTAGAGCACTATGTTGTCTTACAATAATTAAAACCCTAGAGCTCTATGTTGTCATATAATTATTGAAACCCTAGAGCACTGTGTTGTCATACAATAATTAAAACCCTAGAGCACTGTGTTGTCATACAATAATTAAAACCCTAGAGCACTGTGTTGTCATACAATAATTAAAACCCTAGAGCACTGTGTTGTCATACAATAATTAAAACCCTAGAGCACTGTGTTGTCATACAATAATTAAAACCCTAGAGCACTGTGTTGTCATACAATTATTAAAACCCTAGAGCACTGTGGTGTTATACAATTAGCATTGTGTAAATCAGTGTTTTTTCCAGACTTTTTTCTCGGGGAAGGGGGGGGGGGGGGTGCGGACTAAAATTTCCGGGGAGCGAACACTGTTAAAAGTATATATTTTCTATATCAATTCCATTTCGTTCGGGGGGGGGGGGGGGGGGGAGTCGGTAGAGCCTGGAAGAAACTCTGGTGCAGAGGCGTAGCTAGGGGGGGGGGGGGGGCGGGGGGTGCGGACCGCACCGGGTGACACCATTTAGGTGGGTGACACCAATGCAAAAAATAGCAAAATATATACAGAAAAACTTGAGGGGGTGCAAATCGAAAGTTTGTGGGGGGGGGGGGGGTGCAAATCGAAAGTTTGTGGGGGGGGGGGGTGCAAATCGAAAACTTGAAAGTTTGTCCCCGGGAAGGGTCGCTACGCCTCTTGGGGGTGACACCATTAAGTGCCGCACTGGGTGACACCCGACCTCGCTACGCCACTGCTCTGGTGTAAATGTCCCCCATACAACATGTGTAGACCGATCACACATTTTTACCATCGGAGGTCTCCTGGGGGGTGGCGTCGATCACCTGCCACCCACCGTAGCCGCTGGGGAGGTCTGGCCTTGACATCCACACCTCGTTCCACACGTGGAAGTTCCTGGTCAGGCAATAATGTTAATTAACAATCAGGAAATTATACCAGACACAAGGTAAAACATTAGTTCAAATTAACCAGTTAATTTGCAGTGGCGGTGTATTGGTATAAGTTGCGGTCACACATTCATCATCATCTACACTGGGTGACGTCTTACATCATCTAAACTGGGTGACGTCTTACATAATCTACACTGTGACGTCTTACATTAACTAAACTGGGTGACGTCTTCGATCATCTACATTGGGTGACGATTTACAACAACTAAACTGGATGACGTCTTACATTAACTAAACTGGATGACGTCTTACATTAATTAACTGGATGACGTCTTACACTAACTAAACTGGATGACGTCTTACATTAATTAACTGGATGACGTCTTACACTAACTAAACTGGATGACGTCTTACATTAACTAAACTGGATGACGTCTTACATTAATTAACTGGATGACGTCTTACACTAACTAAACTGGATGACGTCTTACATTAACTAAACTGGATGACGTCTTACATTAATTAACTGGATGACGTCTTACACTAACTAAACTGGATGACGTCTTACATTAACTAAACTGGATGACGTCTTACATTAATTAACTGGATGACGTCTTACATTAACTAAACTGGATGACGTCTTACATTAACTAAACTGGATGACGTCTTACACTAACTAAACTGGATGACGTCTTACACTAACTAAACTGGGTGACGTCTTACATTAACTAAACTGGATGACGTCTTACATTATCTTAATGACGTCTTACATTAACTAAACTGGATGACGTCTTACATTATCTTAATGACGTCTTACATTAACTAAACTGGGTGACGTCTTACATTAACTAAACTGAGTGACGTCTTACCAAATGGAATCAAAGTTTGAATTCTCGTCACTCTCGCCGTCTGCTGTGAAGTGGACGTCAATCGTGATAGAGCCGTCAGTATCGTGTGCAGACGAGTAGTTGGTCACGCTGCGAGCGGGGATACCCAGAGCCCTACAGACTGGGGGACAGGTAAGACATAGTTATACATGTGCTATTGTAATTTCTCTTTTTTTTATTTTAATTTTAAAAACTACACCTCTCTCACTAATTATACTTATTGTTCGTTTATAAATGACGTCATACTACGTACACTGACTTTTGCCTCATTCATAATCACAGAAAGTCAAACTTGCTCTCTTCCCCCCCCCCCCCCACCCAACCTTCTTCCCACAATGGTTTGAACAAAACATACACTTTCTCTGCGCGCCGCTCTAAAACACTAACGAAAACTAACAAGTTTGATATTATCGATTCCCCCACCCATATAATCCTACTTAGTTCAACAAAAAACTCACTCCCCCCCCCGCTTCATCTGCTACCCCAGACCAAGGTGCGGGATATTATTTTAGACTACATACCCAGACCACAGCTATTAATATAGGTAAAGTAAAGTTCCCTCTCTGAACTGGCGGCCCGGGGGGTAGGTGAGGTTCACCATTTTCTGTGACCACGGCGTATGAAAGTATAGTGTGGTCAGCACTATGCCCAGCCCCCTTTACTTGAGTTAGGTACCCATCAGAGTTGAGACGTGCTTCGACCCTAGCCATGGACCCGAGGGTTGACAGACGAACGCGCTACCATTCGACCACGCCGTCCCATAAAGACATGAATAGACCGCAACAAGTATCAGGTAAAGGTTATTTGTCTGAGCATTTAATTATCACGGGCCACAGCCTAATGAAAAGAACGTGAAACAACAGGAAACCTCCAACAACGATCACCAAAAGTTAACTAAGAATTATTTTCAGGACATTCATAACAAAAATACACATTTCGATTTAAGCACTGTTAGTTTTAAAATGCGCCGTGGTATTTTTGCCACCCCATCCCCCACCCTCCCTCCCCTACACATACCTAAAATTAACCCTCATGTAGAACCATAAAAAATGACGTGCAGCCGTTATTGATGTTTGAAGTAGAAAGCAATCCCGCACTTGATTAAAAACTTCACGAGGATGCTGTTTTTTTTTTAAAACCCACTTACTTGATAAGTTTTCAGCCGATAAGAAAAATAACATTAAGTTAAGAATTTTGCATTATCAGCTTGTTTTGACGTGTGTTGTCAAGATCAGTGATTCTTAACCTGGGTTCGATTGTACCCCAGGGGTTAGGTGAATCGGTCTCCGGGGTTCAGCGGAGGTCAAGACAGACACCCGACTTATATGATTCACGATCGGATTTTGTCAGTGCAGACGATAGAACTATTAAGAAGGGTTCGGTGAGTGTAAATATGATGACTGGTGGGGTTCGGTTCTTCCTAAAAGGTTAAGAACCTCTAGACCAGACCCTCTACATAATTTAAAGCACTTTCGCTTTGTTACGATGTTCACCTGCGATTTTCATCTCCGCTGACGTCTGCGCTTCAGTTGATGTTGCGATTATTTCTGTCACGTTCAGAGTTTCTTTCATGCAACTGTTTGGTTAGCCCCCACACCCCACCCAATAAAGTACATCAATCGCTGCCCCGGAGGAATAAGCAAAATACATAATTTCGATGACCCTCTTCCCCCCCCCCCCGCCCATAACTACGCTGGAAATGTTTGTGATGGCGATGACCCCCCCCACCCACCCCATATCTACACTGGACATATTTTTGGTAGTGATGAAACCCCCCCTACCCCCATATCTAGGCTAGATATACATATGGTGGCGATGACCCCAACCCCCCCTCACCCACCCTCACCCCCCCACCCTCCATATCTAGCCTGGACATACTTGTAGTGTCTGATTCCCCCCCCCCCCACCATATCTATGTTTGACCTACTTGTGGTGGCGATGACCCCCCCCCCCCCATTTCTATGCTTGACCTACTTGTGGTGGCGATGACCCCCCTCCCCTATATCAATGCTTGACCTACTTGTGGTGGCTATGACCCCCCCCTATATCTAAGCTTGACCTACTTATGGTGGCGATGACCCCCCCATTTCTATGCTTGACCTACTTGTGGTGGCGATGACCCCCCTCCCCTATATCAATGCTTGACCTACTTGTGATGGCGATGACCCCCCCTATATCTATGTTTGACCTACTTATGGTGGCGATGACCTCCCCCTCCTATCTAGCCTGGACATACTTGTGGTGACTATGACCCCCCCCTATATCTATGTTTGACCTACTTGTGGTGGCTATGACCCCCCCCCTATGTCTAAGCTTGACCTACTTGTGGTGGCTATGACCCCCCCACCATATCTATGCTTGACCTACTTGTGGTGGCGATGACCCCCCCCCCCATATCTATGCTTGACCTACTTGTGGTGGCGATGACCCCCCCCCTCCCATATCTATGCTTGACCTACTTGTGGTGGCGATGACCCCCCCCCATATCTATGTTTGACCTACTTGTGGTGGCGATGACCCCCCCCTCCCATATCTATGCTTGACCTACTTGTGGTGGCTATGACCCCCCCATATCTATGTTTGACCTACTTGTGGTGGCTATGACCCCCCCCACCATATCTATGTTTGACCTACTTGTGGTGGCTATGACCCCCCTATATCTAAGCTTGACCTACTTGTGGTGGCTATGACCCCCTATATCTAAGCTTGACCTACTTGTGGTGGCGATGCCAGAAAACACCCAGCACTGGCCGTACTTGACCGGCCGCTTGGTCCTCCAGTACTCCTCCAAAATGGCCGCCGAGCCGGTCCACGACAGAGGTGACCTCCCATCAGCGTATTCACCCGACCAGTTACCTGTGAGTACACCGCCGTCGTCTGCCGAGTTCACCTGTAAAAGTTACAATAACAAAAATTTAATTTCAGTTTTGGTAGTGTTAATCTTTCCTAGTCGCCATTTAGTCTAGTACAGTGGTTCTCAACCTTTTTAGAGGCACCGAACCCCACCAGTTTCATATGCGCATTCACTGAACTCCTCTTAGTAGTAGTTATCATCCGCACTGACAAAATCCGATCGTGAATTGAGTCGGGTGTGTGCTTTGGACCTCCGACAAACGCCTGAGACTGACTTACCAAAGCCCTGGGGTTCAATCGAAACCAGATTAAGAACCACTTTTCGAGCCACTCATTTTTTTTTACTAACGCTCACTTTACTTCTCTCTCTATACAATCACTAGTTTATTTATTGTCCCTGCCGCTCTAGGTAAAACTCCATCAAAACATGCTGGTATTACCGATACGCATTAAACCTGTTAGCGTAGAACGGTTTCGAACCTGGGACACTATGACTAAAGTGACAATCTCTGTTGGTATCGTGATTTCACTCAAGTTGCTTTCACCAACCACCACCCAACACTTCTCTTACCCCCCCCCCCCCCCCACACACACACACCCACACACCTAAAAAAACTATTTAAAAAAAACGGGAAATACTAATACAAATTACCATAGCTGACAGCTTTCTAACAATAGGTACGGGGTTTCCCCGAACTGACCATCCGACTTTGGCGACATCTAGAAGATACAAGGCGACATCAAGGATACAAGTCTCAAACTGGGGATAAGTAGATAAGTCGTAATAGATCAGGTGCAATCAATGATGATGAGGTCATTAAGTATTAGGGAAAAACACACACAAAATAAGGCAAGTATAAATTTGAAGTAGGCCTATAATAGGGCTTGTTAGTAGGTCACCGAATTCTCTTTCTCATTTTTGCCAGCTAGTATTTTTTCAAACTAAATGTGATTTTTTTCTCATCAAATTGGTAAAAACTTAAAATAAATAAAAAAGTTACTTTGACTACTTTAAAGTTTAAAAACAATCGTAAACAATAATAACGATAGACAACAAGATGTAGGATAGTATTAAATAAAATATAACCTACGTTAAATAGTAATATTTTTTTTATAAAGCAGAGATATTATAAGTAGAATATACCTATTCGAAAATTTGTATTTCTAGATATGAACGTGTAAAGAAAAACTAAATTACATTAAAAAATAAATACGATGAAATTTTCAAAACAAAAAGTAAGACCAAGCAGAAAGGTTAAGTCGGTGATGTATAAATAAAATAAAAATGCACCAAGACGGCGGGCGCTATGAGATAGATGGTTTAGAGCAGACAAAAATTTCCATAAAAACTGTTTTCCTTATCATTCACGCCTGCACGCTAGGTCAGTATGACCTCACTTGTCACAGGTTATGACGTGCTATCCAGGTAAATTTAAACGCACCTGACTATATTTTTTTTTCCACATGCGCCTGTCAAAAACTGACCTGGGCAAAATTCCAGGGTTTTCCTGTGATGGAATTTTTGGTGCCACTGTAGATCTTGCCGACATCGTTCATGACGTATTCCTTGAGCAGCGTGGTGTCCTTCATGTAGACTAGGTCGTCTGCGTAGTTAGGTGCATCAGGAAACAATGTTTTACGTTATACAGATGGTTTTTAATTAAACCATTAATTAAACCATTAATTAAACCATTAATTATTACATTAAAGATTGTCTGCAGAGTTAGGGGCATCAGGAAACAATGTTTTATGTAATACAGATGGTTATTAATTAAACCATTAATTAAACCATTAATTATTACATTAAAGATTGTCTGCGGAGTATGGTGCATCAGGAAACAATGTTTTATGTAATACAGATGGTCATTAATTAAACCATTAATTATTACATTAAAGATCTTCTGCGGAGTTTGGTGCATCAGAAAACAATGTTTTATGTAATACAGATGGTCATTAATTAAACCATTAATTAAACCATTAATTAAACCATTAATTATTACATTAAAGATTGTCTGTGGAGTTTGGTGCATCAGGAAACATGTTTTATATAATACAGATGGTTATTAATTCAACCATTAATTAAACCATTAATTATTACATTAAAGATTATCTGCTGAGTATGGTGCATCAGGAAACAATGTTTTAAATAATAAAAATGGTTTTTAATTAAACCATTAATTATTACATTAAAGAGCGTCTGCTTTTTTTTTAGTTTGAAAACTTTTAATGGTCAGTTCTAAAGTGATGATGAATGAAAGAAATAATTTATAAAAAAAATAGATGAAAACATTCAACCCTTACAGCCATGAACATACAAACCAGCCGAACCAAGAGATTGAATTATTTAGGAGCCCACAATGATGTTATTGATGGGGATGTGGATTAGTTTGAAAAAAAAATCCAATAAATCCCATGATAGCAAAACCAATAGCTGTGACCGTTGCTATTTTTTTTAAACTGTTTTCTATCTGGCTTAGTGCATTTCTTTACTTGTCTGATTGAGTCTTTTGCAAAGGTCTTTCCTGACGCTACAAACTGGATAACCCAGAGGCGTAGCGACCCTTCCCGGCGCCCGGGGACAAACTTTCAATTTTGCGCCCCTTTAAATTATCGATTTGCACCCCCCACCCTCAAACTTTCTTTTTGCAACCCCCCCCCCCCCCCCCGTCATATAATTTTTATATTTATAAAGCAACAATGCAGCTAAAATGAGATTTTAATTTGTTTTTTCAACCCATTTTGGCGCCCCCTAAGGTCGGCGCCCGGGAACAGATGTACCCCCCTGCCCCCCCCCCCCCCCCTTCGCTACGCCTCTGGGATAACCTGATCCATGACTTTTGATCTTTTAGTTCTGTTTCGACAACTGCTTACGTCTTACTTTCAGCGATAGAAAGATCGTATGCACAATTAGGTACATAAGAGAATAATGTTTTGGGCTTACTCACTGCATATGATTATTAATTAAATTATTAGTTATCTGATTATTTGATATGGTTCCATGACAAAGTATCTCAGAACAAATGATCTCAGGCTAAATATCTCAGACAAAATATTTCACGAAAAAATTATCTCAGGACATAATATATCAGGACAAATTATATCAAATCAAATCAAATTTGCCCTGTCACCGTTAATATAGCACAACACAACTAAACCTTGTCAGGAACCTAACTTTAAAATATCGGAAATTGTATCGATTACCTTAACATTATTTCCAACACTAGACTAAATCTTCAACTTAAAAAACATCCTTTACATTAGCTTTAAGTTTTGTAAGTTGATTTTTTGAAATTGAAAATGTAATTTACAATTTCAAAATAAAGGTGGACGGGGCATACAAAAATATTTATTGCCCAAGATTTGTAACCAGTGCCGGCGCCCGGTTATTTAGCGCCCTAGGCAAAACTTATTAAAACGCCCCCTTTCACACAAATTAATTACTAAAACATATGTATAAGAAAACAATTCATTTAAAGTGACATATTAATTTATTATCAATTGCATACACGTTATAAGTAGACATCAAAATCTAATTTTAATTGTCCCCTTCATCTCAAAAGTTTGTACTAATTTCTTCTATTCCACTTTGCAATCGTAATCACATTCTATTGAAATTGATTCTAAGTCCACGAGTCTACTTTTTACTTTATGACATAGCCCCGCCCCCCCCCTACCCATATCCCCTTAGAAAATTTTAAGTGTTTCACCCCTCCCCCACCCCTCTTGTAGTTCTTGTAGTGTTGGGCTCTCTACAGTCCTCCCAAGGTGAGTTCCAAAACGAAACTTACCTGTTTTAAGCTTGACTGTCTTTAGTTATAATTGTAAAATGTCTATATTGTGTGATTATATAACGATTTTTTTGTTTTTGAAAAATAAAAGGTTATAAATATTATATTCCAGCCTAAAATTATATATGAATTTTTTAGGGGAGGGTGAAAAATATGAAAAGACAATTAATTAGATGTTTAATTTACGACAAAGACTGTACGTCTACTAACATTAAGTATTGCAATCTACAACGGCTACTGATGTATTTGTTTTTCTGCTTGATAGTGCTAAAAAACAAATTATTTTGTTTAGAACTTCTGCTCTATATAATTTTTAAAATAAAAATAATAACTTAAAGTTGTATTATATGTAAGCGGTCAACCTAAGGTGCAGGAATTTGAAATGAATGTAAAGTTAAGCCTAAGCAACGAATTATCTCCAATTTGAAGATCCAAATACCAAAATTTTATTCAAGGGAAATAACTTTCACAAGAATAACTAAATTAACCAAGTCTAACTAAGACATGCTTGAAAATAACAATAAAACGCTTTAAATTTCATTACTTAATGATTATAACAATTTTTTTATATTCGCTATGTAACCTTGTAAAAACAATATATTTTACCTATTGAATACTTAACTTTTTGTTGTGTTTTAAAGTTTAAAAAAACGTTAGCCTTATTATAACATACTTCTATTCAATTTTGATGACAGAATATATTTTGTTCAAGAGAGAAGCGTCACATTGTGAAATTTTTTGGATCCCCTAAATAAAGGGACTCCTTTCAAAATATCAAATACGGGTAGCTGTTTTAGACTGCTAGAATTATTGATTAAATATAAAAAAATTTCATTCTCATTTCTCTATTACCAATCAGATTCCACTAGACCTTCAACTACAAAACAGCAGAAAAACAATTATGACACTTTAACACTTCGATAATTTATACCTACGAAACCATATCAGCAACAGCCTTCCGCCGTTACTCCCAAATCTAAACGATTCATCTAAACTTACCAAACAAGTACAATACTTCGAACACCCCGTCATTACAAAACTCTATACACCAGGACGAATTTCTAATTCAAAGTCAGAGAAAACGAGACTTACAAGACCTAGTAAAATTAGATAACCGTTTGTAATGTTCGAAATTTAAATTACGGACTTATTTAATCGTTTTCTACATCAATTATGTGAAACCAAAATAAAAAGGCAAAGTGACTCGTAAAAAGCGCCCCGACCTTTCACAATTAGGGGGGTGGGGTTGCATTTTCACCATCGCGAATAAATATAGGCCTATATAGACCTAATTTTGGGAGGGGGGGGGGGCAAAATTGATAGCTCGGCCTGAGCCCCGAAAATGATCGCTACTCCTTTATAAAAGTTGTGAATTATTAAGTACGTTTTGATAATAGCGATTTAACCTTTTTGCCCCCCCCCCCCCCGTATGGATGGCGCCCTAAGCGACCGCCTAGTTCGCCTTATAGGTAGCGCCGGCCCTGTCTCTACCAGATATATGGTCCTGACGTCATGTACGCACCATACTAACAACACGTAGGCCTACTCACTCCGTGACGTCATTTACCGGACAAAGCCATGACGGTAACACAACCACTCCCAGGTGAATTCCAGACAATCCCAAGTCCAAATCACCACACGGATTCGAACTCCGCGCATACAGCTCAACCTCACCGTAACTATTTACACACCTTTACACCAGGGGTTAAAGAGGATGTAAATGGGGTCCGCGTGTTGGTATCTGTAAACGTTGACGTTGGTGTCCAGTTTCTTGACCACGTCAATCTTCAGGTTCCACTTGCCGATGTAGCAGGTGGGTGGGGTGTAAACTTCAATGGTCAGTTGGTTGCCCTGGGGGATAGAGGAGTCAGTGTCAGATTTGACCACAGGAGTCATTATTAGATATGACCAATGGAGTCATTGATAGACTTGAAAACAGGAGTCATTGCCACATCGGTTGGCAGGAGTCAGTGTCAGGCTTGAAGACGGGAGTCATTGCCACACATGGCCACAAGAGTCATTGTCAGATTTTGAATACAGGAGTCATTGCCACACTAGGTCAGAGTCACTGTCTAACATAACCACATTGTCACACTAGGTAATAGGAGTCAGTGTAACCCCGTGACAACCGGAATCATTGAGACCCTAGGTCACGATAACCTCTTTCACACGTCGACACAGGCGATACCATCACAAATCAAAATGTCCATCTGCAAGGTGATAAAAATCTATCTTTAACCGAACCTTCCTACATTTTTATCTTGATTATCTTTATGTTTTTTATCTGGACCAAACTTTCCCCATGTACACACATTGTGACACGTGACCCAAGCAGTACCCCCCCCCACACACACACGTGACCCAAGCAGTACCCCCCCCCCACACACACACATGGACCGAAGATGTTACACCCCCCCCCACACACACACACGTGACCCAAGCAGTACCCCCCCACACACACACATGGACCGAAGATGTTACACCCCCCCCCCCCCCACACACACACGTGACCCAAGCAGTACCCCCCCCACACACACACATGGACCGAAGATGTTACACCCCCCCCCACACACACACGTGACCCAAGCAGTACCCCCCCCCCCCACACACACACATGTACCGAAGATGTTACACCCCCCCCCCACACACACACACGTGACCCAAGCAGTACCCCCCCACACACACACACACATGGACCGAAGATGTTACACCCCCCCCCCACACACACACACGTGACCCAAGCAGTACCCCCCCCCCACACACACACATGGACCGAAGATGTTACACCCCCCCCCACACACACACACGTGACCCAAGCAGTTACCCCCCCCCCCCCCACACACACACAAGTACCCCCACCTGCTGAGAGACGATCTTGGCCCCCCACTCCTTGGGTCTGTCCTCGTCTGATAGGATAAACTGTACACTGGTGCCTTTACTCTCCAGGGGCGTGTCGCCTGTGGGGGGGGGGGGGTGAGGAGAGAGTAAGACAAAATTACAACAGAAGGTAGAGTAAGAAGAACGTAAGACAAATAACATGAAAAATAAAGCGGGAGTGATCTCCCCTAAACTTTCTCGAATATTTTTATATAACACTACGGGGAATGGCAAATCGGGATTTAGACATGATTTTTAATTACTTAACATTATTAAAATAGAATTGAATCTCGTAGAAAAAAGAATTGCGCACCAAGTGAACAGCAAACATTTCTTTTTTTTTTTAAATCGGAAATTACTCAAAATTTGAAAGAAGGCAGAGAATTAAATCTGTTACTTATATGTGAAATTTCGTCTATAAATCTTAGACAGTTCTCAAGTTATGGGCTTATGACAAATCAAAAGTAGAATAAGTTCAACAATATAAAATTTCACCAACCTAGCTGTAACGGCATTCAAGTTATCGTTTTCACAGACACACATCCACACAGACATACGGACAAAACTATTTTTTTCCAACTCAGGGAGGTGTAAAACGTCGAGACTTGTAAAATCAATTTTGATTTTTTTGCACGATAATAATACTTTCTCTATACTTCGTATACGAAAAAGTAATTATGCCAATAACTTAAATATTACAGCATATAATGATTTTATTTTTCACTAGAATAAATAACAAAAGAATATAAATTGAATATATTTTTAAAATATTGTAGTGTGTAAAAGATCTTTGAGGCGATGCATTTTTTTAACGCGGCATGGTGTTAACTATTAGCATGTCCAACAAATTACATAGCTATAACATTTCTTTTAAATATTTTTTAAATTTCTATAAAGCTTGTCACAATTAAGTAACACTTTCTTTATTATTTCAAGCCTAATTATACACTTAGCTTAAACCGTCACTTAAAAAGAGGTGTTGAGCGCATAGTGCGCAGAACTAAAAGACTTGAATCAACCAGAGTTAACGAACCTGCTTCACAAAAGACTTCAAAAAAAAAAAACAAGAGTTAAAGAACCTGCTTCAAAAAACTTGAAAAAAAAACCCAGAGTTAACGAACCTGCTTCAAAAGCGATGCGTAGGTCGTCAGTGTTGGCGTCATACTCTTTGGTGAACTCTACCTGGATGGTGAAGGGTTGTCCTCGTCTGACAACCAGCTTGGGGTTGGCAACTGCTCGACAAAGGTCGTACTTGTGGGTGTTGTGTTTCTTGCTGTTGGTAGGGATCTGTAGGTCTACGCTGACCACCTTCAAGATGTCTTCAGGGATGGGAGCTGGTGGTAGAGATGGAGGTGGTGGAGGTGGTGGTGGTGGTGGTGGAGATGGAGGTGGTGGTGGTGGTGGTGGTGGAGATGGAGGTGGTGGTGGTGGTGGAGATGGAGGTGGTGGTGGTGGTGGAGATGGAGGTGGTGGTGGTGGTGGTGGTGGTGGTGGTGGTGGAGATGGAGGTGGTGGTGGTGGTGGAGATGGAGGTGGTGGTGGTGGTGGAGGTGGTGGAGATGGAGGTAGTGGTGGTGGTGGAGATGGAGGTAGTGGTGGTGGTGGAGATGGAGGTGGTGGTGGTGGTGGAGATGGAGGTGGTGGTGGTGGTGGAGATGGAGGTGGTGGTGGTGGTGGAGATGGAGGTGGTGGTGGTGGTGGAGGTGGTGGAGATGGAGGTAGTGGTGGTGGTGGAGATGGAGGTAGTGGTGGTGGTGGAGATGGAGGTAGTGGTGGTGGTGGAGATGGAGGTAGTGGTGGTGGTGGAGATGGAGGTAGTGGTGGTGGTGGAGATGGAGGTGGTGGTGGTGGTGGAGATGGAGGTGGTGGTGGTGGTGGAGATGGAGGTGGTGGTGGTGGTGGAGGTGGTGGAGATGGAGGTAGTGGTGGTGGTGGAGATGGAGGTAGTGGTGGTGGTGGTGGTGGAGATGGAGGTGGTGGTGGTGGTGGAGATGGAGGTGGTGGTGGTGGTGGAGATGGAGGTGGTGGTGGTGGTGGAGATGGAGGTGGTGGTTGTGGTGGTGGAGAAGGAGGTGGTAGAGATGGAGTGGTGGAGATGGAGGTGGTGGTGGTGGTGGAGATGAAGGTGGTAGAGATGGAGGTGGTGGAGATGGAGGTGGTGGTGGTGGTGGAGATGGAGGTGGTGGAGATGGAGGTGGTAGAGATGGAGGTGGTAGAGATGGAGGTGGTAGAGATGGAGGTGGTAGAGATGGAGGTGGTAGAGATGGAGGTGGTAGAGATGGAGGTGGTGGAGATGGAGGTGGTAGAGATGGAGGTGGTAGAGATGGAGGTGGTGGAGATGGAGGTGGTAGAGATGGAGGTGGTAGAGATGGAGGTGGTAGAGATGGAGGTGGTAGAGATGGAGGTGGTAGAGAAGGAGGTGGTGGAGATGGAGGTGGTAGAGATGGAGGTGGTAGAGATGGAGGTGGTAGAGATGGAGGTGGTAGAGATGGAGGTGGTGGAGATGGAGGTGGTGGAGATGGAGGTGGTAGAGATGGAGGTGGTAGAGATGGAGGTGGTAGAGATGGAGGTGGTAGAGATGGAGGTGGTAGAGATGGAGGTGGTAGAGATGGTGGTAGAGATGGAGGTGGTAGAGATGGAGGTGGTAGAGATGGAGGTGGTAGAGATGGAGGTGGTAGAGATGGAGGTGGTAGAGATGGAGGTGGTAGAGATGGAGGTGGTAGAGATGGAGATGGTAGAGATGGAGGTGGTAGAGATGGAGGTGGTAGAGATGGAGGTGGTAGAGATGGAGGTGGTAGAGATGGAGGTGGTAGAGATGGAGGTGGTAGAGATGGAGGTGGTAGAGATGGAGGTGGTAGAGATGGAGGTGGTAGAGATGGAGGTGGTAGAGATTGAGGTGGTGGAGATGGAGGTGGTAGAGATGGAGGTGGTGGAGATGGAGGTGGTAGAGATGGAGGTGGTAGAGATGGAGGTGGTAGAGATGGAGGTGGTAGAGATGGAAGTGGTAGAGATGGAGGTGGTAGAGATTGTGGTAGAGACGGCGGAAGAGATGGAGGTGGTAGAGATGGAGGTGGTAGAGATGGAGGTGGTGGAGATGGAGGTGGTAGAGATGGAGGTGGTAGAGATGGAGGTGGTAGAGATGGAGGTGGTAGAGTGGAGGTGGTAGAGATGGAGGTGGTAGAGATGGAGGTGGTAGAGATGGAGGTGGTAGAGATGGAGGTGGTAGAGATGGTGGTAGAGATGGAGGTGGTAGAGATGGAGGTGGTAGAGATGGAGGTGGTAGAGATGGAGGTGGTAGAGATGGAGGTGGTAGAGATGGAGGTGGTAGAGATGGAGGTGGTAGAGATGGAGGTGGTAGAGATGGAGGTGGTAGAGATGGAGGTGGTAGAGATGGAGGTGGTGGAGGTGGTAGAGATGGAGG